AATTAAAATCATTTAAAATACATATAAAATTATATTGTGCCAAATAGGAGCAATCTTATTCTTTATCCTCTGAGAGTGCATAAAGAACATTGACTAATCTAAAGTTTGGTCTCTAAATCTATGGTTATGTTGAGGGGACACTAGCTACCACTCCAGAGCTCTATCTTTTCCCTCCCTTGAGAGATAACAATCTAGCTTTAGTTTCCAAGCAACTGAACCAAATCAGGGATTTTTAATCTGTCACCTTAAAATCTCCTATTCTTCGCCCATCAAAGTATATTTCCTTATTTATTTGCACTCAACCCCATGGACTACATTCTCACCCATGAAATTGAATGCGACTCTTACCTTGTTGCAGAAAGCATAGCCTATTTGGATCTTATGTTTCTCAATAAATTTTAACATTCAATTGGCCAGATCGTGTCAGATTAAAAAGTAAATGAAGATCAGAGTTTAAATCATCACAATTTATTGACATTTAAAACTTACATAACAAAATTAATTCTTTACAAAATTGTACCTCATTATAGGGAGAAGGATAAAGAAGTTCACTCAGAATTTATGAGAAGGATACAAAAAAACATAGTTTTTATATATACAAACAAGTTTACAAAACAAATAAATGAAAGAACACAACTTATCTCACACTTCTTCTTAAGCAAAGCCGTTGAAGTTCCCTTTAAGCATTTTGTCTCTTTACAATCACACTCAATTATCTCTTAGAAATGTAATAAAGAAGAAACCTCTCACCTTCTCTCTTCTCTTACAACTCTAGAAGAAAATCATCTCTTCGTCTAAGACTTCTCTCTCTTAAACCTCATGCACACCCACCGTTTTCTCTTCAAACCTCTCGGCCCCCATTCTTCTCTAGGTCCTCTCCTTTTTTAATTAGATCCAAGCCTCATTTCAAAGAGAATCCAAAATTCCCTCCTTTTTTCATAAAAGGTACACCTCTTCACACTAAGAGACAAGTCCCTTCATCTAAGAGACATATCTCTTTATTCAGTAGCCTTTCCAAAGTGTCTAGATGCATTGAATCACTCCATGGGGTGTTTGAATTGATTGGTGCCTTCTAGAACTGTTAAAAAATAGTCACTAACCACCTTACTCCATTTTAATTCGTCTCTAGCTCTTCTGGCGCCATTGTATTGAAGTTCCACACTGTTCTCTAGATTCTGGCGCTCTGGCACCAGTTTCCCACCTCTGGCACTAGGATGCTAAAAAGCTCCATTTTTTGCTCCAAATTTCTTCTTTTTTGCTCCTTTTCGCTCCACATACCTAAAATCAATATACCTGTAACAAAACATGAAAATACCCTTATTTATAGTGCAATATCACAAAATTTAAGCGTAAAATAATACATAAAATTGCACATTATTTTAATGTATCAAGTAACCAACTGCAACATCCACCAGCGTGTCGATCTTCAACATCAGATAAGTATCCTTCGGGCATGCACATTGAGGTTGGTGAAGTCGACGCATATCCTCCACCTGACATAAGACCTTCGAGCCATCACTACATTTGAGAGCTAAGTTAGGTACTGGACCTTCGAATGTAACGAGCCTCTTTCCACTTTTGTACCTATGCCAGTTTTGGCTTGGCTAAGGTTTTGGACTGTCAACCTCATCTTTTATTGCACCGATCAAATAGTTGGATTGATATTTAATCAATGGCAAGCTACATTGATTAAAATCCCTGACATCTCTGTGATCGTCCAAGATAAAATATCTCGATGCTCGTGAAAGGTCTGGATCAGCAGTTTCTTATGTCATGCATCAAAACTTTCACTTATTAGGAAAACTTTATTGGATTCATTGTCATTAGTAGTAGACACTTCAAGTATGATCTCACTGGTCTTGAGACCACCTTCCATTTGATTTTGAAGGTCAACTGCCTTGTGATTTCACGCTAGTGACCGCTCAGAGGTAGCAACTCCTTAACTGTTCCAAAGTTCCCCTAGATGGTTATAATTTCTCTATTGGTAGGAAAATTTAGAGTCACATAGTAATTCAAAGACATCACCAAATAGTTTTTCAGCAGTGGTCAATTGAATATGGTGTTGTAGGTTGAAGGAGATTCAACTACCAGGAAAATTTTCATGCTGGTGTAATATTTTTCTTGCTCTCCCCACAAGATGGCCAGTGTGATGACACCCAAAGCTTTTTTTCTTTCACCCGAGAAGCCAAATAATGACTCAGATAATGACTCAAATGGCGTTCTCAATGGGTCAATCTTTAGGTCAATATTATCGAACACCGTATTGAAAATAATGTTTATTGACTTTTCAGTGTTGCTAGGATGCTACCCACCTGATAGTTGTTGATCAGTGTATTAATGACAATGGCTTCATTATAGGAGTTTCCCTTAGATGAGAGGTTTGCATTTGTAAGAACAATAGCAAATGGTTAGGATTGTCAGAAGTAATGAAGCAATCCTCTTTAGATTGATGCCTCTTCTAGCTAAATCGATGAAATGATTCCTCATCTCCCGAAAGATAGCTGAGATGATTTCAGCAACATGCACTTCACTCCACTTAATTGGTCCTTCAAGCAGTTTTTTAGAGGGGTCCTTTTCGCTATTACCATGTCTATGTGCTAACAATGATGAACTCCTCAGCTTCCCGACCTTGATTAATTCCTTCACTAAGTTTCAGAGGTGACAACATTCCTCCGTATAATGCCCATGGTCTTGGTGGTAGTCACAATACTTGTTTGGGTTTTAGAGCACAGGTCTGGCTTTCATCACTGAAAATTTTCTAAAATACTCTTTATTTTGAATGGCTGCTACTAATGCAGCCTTTCAGACATTTAGCGGGGTTAAACCGTACATTTATCGGTGTAAAGTGCGACCACGTGTAATACCGAGGCGGTCTCTAATTTGAATTTTGATTCTAACTCTGGTGGATTGAGTTCTCTCACAATTGCTAAGCATTGTTGCATTGTTGATGTATGAAAGGATTTTGATTGTCCCTCGATCTTTATCCTTCATCCCTAGCCTTCCTCTTCTTCGATCATGGGTCGGTTGATGCCAACTTGGCCAGAGAGGAGTCTGTGAAGGATTCCTCACTAGTGATATAGCTATTGTTCATCTCTAACATCTCAGAAAAAAACTTTAGTTTAAGCATACTCAAATCATACTTGAAACGTCTGTCTCTGACCCCCAACGATATAGCAGTTAGGGTTATCAACAGTTGAAAGACTTGTACTTCCAACATCTCCTTCTAAAAATGAGTGATGTACGATCACAGTTTCTTGTTCTCCCTGCTTGATCTGTAGCAGAGCATGTATTTTCTTCTTTGGCCTTTGCATATTATTGAAGCGTGACAGAAAAAGCGTTCTAAATTTAACAAAGGTTAGAATGATTCCAGCTGACAAAGCATAAAACAATCGAAGGGTTGTTTCCTTGAGTGTCATTAAGAAGAGGAGACCCTTCATGACATCGTCAATCTGCAGGATGCTTACTGATAATTCAAAAGACACCAAGTGGTTGATCGAATCACTTTTCCTTCATAAGGATCCATATGAGGGATTCTCAATTTTTGTGCTTGGTTGGCCTCCTTGGTTGGCCTCCAAGATCCGTTGAGTGAAGGCATTATCAAGAGAGGCCAAACTGGTATGTCGACACGATCTACCCGAGGCCTAACCACGAGGTAGATCCGGTGCTGACAAGTTGTGAGGACTCCCCTTCCCCTTCAGCTGTTTGATTGCCGACGATCCTAACGGTGTTTTGAGGTGCTCCGAGGGAGCCCTCTGGCTGATTTTTCGAGATTCAACCCCTGAGAGTGCAGATTG